GGGAATTGCATTGAATTTGTAGATTGCTTTTGGCAGTATGGTCATTCTCACACTATTTTAAAATGTGGCTTTCTACTTAGTACATTTTTTCCCATTTGTTCAGTACTTCATCTATATTGTATTTGACAAAAGTGTTACTCTATAATGGAGTAAAAAATTTAAAAACAAAAAATTGGCTTTTATTCGATAGAGTTTGGGAAGCAGTGTTCTAGAGAATGGACTGGTTAGGATAAGCTTGGACACAAAGATACTAATTAGGAGGTTGCTACAATACCTCAAGCAAGATACCGTGAGAGCCTAACTAGACATGGTACTGACATGGTAATTAACAATGGGCATGGATAGAAGAGGCAAGAAGTATAACAGAAGCAGAATTTTCAGAATTTGGAGGCTGAATCAGTGTGAAGGCTGAGGAAGAGGGGATAGTCTAGGGGAGCAAATGTTCTTTTGAGAATCTACTAAAAATTGGACCCTTCCGCTATGTATTACTATGAGCTTCTCCATCCCTGTTTTACAGAAATGTTTCATTTAATTTTTAATATGGTTATGATTTGTAATGTTTTAAAATATTTTATCTTGAATCCTTATTTGTTGCACATATAAGAAAGGAGGTGTATGTATGTGTTTACATCCCCATCATGACCCTCCACCATTTTCCCTACACTTGAGGTGTTTCCATAGTTACCTGGGCTTGTTTTAAAACTACTGGTAGAATAACCAATTCCTACCAAATTAAATCCAGAAAATATTTATACGTACTATATGATCTCATTTATAGGAAAATCTATGATAGTTGGGCCGGGCACAGTGGCTCATGCCTGTAATCCCAGCACTTAAGGAGGCCAAGGGGGACGGATCACCCAAGGTCAGGAAACTAGCCTGACCAACCGGAGGAAACTGCATCTCTACTGAAAATACAAAATTAGCCAGGCGTCGTTGCGGGCTCCTGTAATCCCAGCTACCCAGGAAGTTGAGGCAGGAAAATCGCTTGAACCCGGGAGACAAAGGTTTCGGTGAGCCGAGATCATGCCATTGTACCCCAGCCTGGGCAACAAGAGTGAAACTCCATCTCAAAAAGAAAAAAAAAAAGAAAATCTGTGATAGTCAAAACTATGAAACAAATCAGTGGTTGCTTCAGGGAGGAGGGATTGACCATGGAAGGAACATGAGGGAACTTTCTGGGGTGATAAAAATGGGTGTGTCTTGATAAGCATTTCTCATTTGATTGAACAGTATATTTAGGATCTGAGCCTTTCACCCAATTATAAAATATACCTAAATTAAATTTTTAAACCACGTACAGCCAAGAAGCATAAGATGTTCCCCTCGTCATCAGGAAACAGCAAATAAAACCCTCAGTGTAATGCCAGTACATACTCATTACAATGACTAAAGTTAAAAAGACTGGTAAAACCAAGTTTGGGTGAGCATGTGGAATAACTGAAATTAGCACTATACTGCAGATATTATTTCAAATATTTTAGAAAACTGTTTGGCCATAGCTACTAAAACTGAACCTAATGCATACTCTGTAACCCGGCAGTTCTATTCCTAGCCTGTCCAACAGAGCTGCATATCACATTGCCAGATACATGTGCACAAATGTTTAAAGTAGTATTGTCTGAAGCGTCAAGGTAGAAACAAGCCAAATGTCAATCAGCAGTGAAACATTTCAATAAGCGGATATATAGGGTGAGACAAAGGAATAATAGCAAGGAAAATGAATGAACTACTGTTATAGGCAGCAACATGGATGAATTTAGAAATAAACAGTCAACCAGTAAAAAGCTAGATACAGTTGGATAAAGTGTGATGTAGATATGAAAAGAAGGCAAAATGAATTCATGAGTTTAAAAGTCAGAATAACCTTTACATTTTGGGACAAGGGAGAGATAGTGAATAGGATGGGCACAAAGGATACTATGTCATGCTATAAAGCTTTGTATTTTAGTTTTGAAGTGGTTACACAGCGTGTTCAATTTGTTTTTACTCATGTAGCTGTACAATCATGATTGGTGCAGTTTTCTCTATGTATATTATATGATAATACAGAGCTTATTACTGTTTTCCGAATATATCGACATCCTAGCATAAGAAGAGGGAATAACAACAGCATCACAGCATTAAATAAATTATTAAGTAACTGGATTTTGCAGTTTTTGATTGTTTGTTTTATTGCAAAGAAATATTTTCCATTAATAACAAAATTATTAATTTTTAATCTTAAGCATGAGTCTTGTCTAGCTTTCACAATGAACTTGTTGTCACAAAATATTTTATTGTGCACAAAGAGAGCAGTTGAATGATTAAGATAAGCATTTATTACACTGCTAAACTCTAGACATGTACTGGCGACAGTAATTGATACATTATTAATGCTCAGAACATCAGAAGAATCAGGCAAATATGTTGACAGAGCTTATGTATACTCATATCTCCTCCCCATTCCCTTTTCAAAAAAACCTCAGTATTTCAAAATTTCAAGGCTGTGGAATGTATTAGAAGAAATGTAAGGTGGTGATGTAATAGAGGGCTTGTATTAGTTTGCTTGGAGCTGCCATAACAAAGTGCCACAGACTGGTTTGCTTAAACAACAGAAGTGGATTTTCCCTCAGTTATAGATGCTGGAAGTCTAAGATCAAGGTGTCCACAGGTTTGCTTGCTCCTGATGCCTCTCTCCTTGGCTCACGGATGGCCACCTCTTGCTGTGTCCTCATGTGACTTCTTGATTGCACAGGTGTAAGCCTGGTGTCTCTTTCTCCTCTTATGAGAACACCAGTCATATTGGACCAGAGCCTACTCTAAGAGTCTCACTTTTAACTTAGTTACCTCTTTAAAGATCTTCTCTACAAATACAGTTACATTCTGAAGTACTGGGAGTTGGGGTCCACATATGAATTTTGAGGGGGACACACTTCAAGTCACAATAGGTTATCTTATTTTTTACATATATGTTGCAGTGATTCTGCCTATGCTTAAAAACATACAGTGTAGCATAGAATTACTCTCCTCTTCCCCATGCCAAAGTAATGCAAAGAACTTGGAAGTGTTATTTCCCACAAGAATTAGATACAATTCATAAATTGCATGAAATAATCATAGGTTTTGGTTACTTAATGTTGTTACTTAATGTTGGTCCAAAATAGCTGAAATGGTATTTTTAAAAAAGGATACAGCTAAAATGGTTAGATACTCTATTATCTTCTATTGCTGAAGACGAATATTCTAGTAGAAGGAATCTTTGTTGAAGCCTATATTGTTAGGTGGTAATTAAGATTACAATGTGATAAAACTGACTTTTAAAGGAGTATTGCAAAAATTTACATATAAATTTTTTCCTTTGCCTGGAGTGCTTTTTCCCTTCCCCCGTTCTTTTGCTTGTCTTAAAATCTCAGTTTTCTCAGAGAAGCCTATCTTGACCCTTTCTCCATCATATAGTTGATTCCTCCATTATTCTCATAGAGAACATTTTATCTTTCAAAGTACTTATAATTAAAATCACCTTATTTATAAATATCTGATTAGTGTTGGTCCTAGCCACTCATATTTTTTTAATTTTTAATTATTGTGGGCACATAGTTTGTATATATGTTTATGGTTTACATGAGATATTTTGATATAGGCATACAATGCTTAACAATCACATCAGAGTAAATGGGGTATCCATCATTTAAAGCATTCACCTTTCTGTTACAAACAATCCAACTGTATTCTTTTAGTTATTTTTAAATGTATAATTAGATGATTATTGATGATACTCATGCTTGCTGTGCTATCAAGTACTGGGTCTTATTCTTTCTATTGTTTTTACTCATTAACCGTCCCCACTTCCTCCCCTATTAGAACCCTTCCCCCCACCGCCAATACCCTTCTCAGACTCTGGTACCTATCCTTCCATTCTCTATCACCGTGAATTCAGTTGTTTTAATGTTTAGCTCTCACAAGTAAATGAGCACATGTGAAGTTTGTCTCACTTCGCCTGACTCATTTCACTTAACATAAAGACCCCCACGTCCAGCCATGTTGTTGCAGATGACAGGGTCTCATTCTCTTTATGGCTGATTAGTACTCCATTCTGTGTATGTACTACATTTTGTTTATCCGCTCATCTCCTGATGGACACTTAGGTTGCTTCTAGTTGTTGGCTATATTGTGAATGGTGCTGAAGTAAATATGGGAGAGGAGATCTCTCTTAGATATATGGATCTCCGTTCTTTTGGGCATATTCCTACCAGTGGACTTGCTGGGTCATATGGTAGCTCTGTATTTAGTTTTTTGAGGAACCTTCAAATTGTTCTCCATAGTGATTGTACTCATTTACATTCCCGCCAATAGTGTACAAGGGTTCCCTTTTCTCCACATCCTTGCCAGCATTTGTTATTACCTATTTTTTGGATAAAAGCCATTCTAACTGGGGTGAGATAATATCTCATCGTAGTTTTGATTTGAATTTTTCTGATGATCAGTGATGTTGAGCACCTTTTCATATGCCTGTTTGCCATTTGTGTATCTTCTTTTGAGAAATGTCTATTCAGATTTTTAGCCCGTTTTAAAACTGGATTGTTAGATTTTTTTTTTCCTACAGAGTTGTTTGAACTCTTATATATTCTTGTTAATCCCTAGTCAGATAGATAGTTTGTAAATATTCTCTTCCATTCTGTGGGTTGTCTCTTCACTTGGTTGATTATTTCCTTTGCTGTGCAGAAGCTTTTTAACTTGATGTGATTTTACTTGTCCATTTTTGCTTTGGTTGCCTTTGCTTGCCATCCACCAAATTTGAAGCTTCATGGAGGACAGCAGCCATGTCTTTTATGCTCACTCCTATTTATCCATATTTCCTAGTACTGAAACAATTAGCAGTGAGTAGCAGTCAACAAACATTTATAGAATAATATTTGTAGAATAATTGAACCAGCAGAATGTTTCAGACTATGTGTATCATTTGATTATAGTTTTATTCCTGGGAAATTGGGCTGACTTCTGTTTGTATTTCTGTCTAGAATGTGGCAGATCAGATTGCATTTCAAGCTGCTGGTGGATTAACAGCCCTTGAACACATCCTTCAAGCGGTAGTCCCAGCCACAAATGTGAACACAGTTTTAAGAATTCCTCCTAAGTAAGTAGAGTTTCTTAATCTATTTTTTACGTTTCATTTGTGAGTCATTTCTGCCCTATGGTTTCCATATGGAGAACCACAAGAAAATTGTGTATATATTCAGGGTTGAATACCAAAAGCTTACACTCCCCATTAGGGAGAAAAACAGAGGTGCTCAATGTCAGTTGCAAAACTCAAATTGAGCCTAAAAAGCCTTATTAAGGAAATCTTTTTAGTCTGTGACCTGCTCTATTCTGAAATCAAGAAGAATTGATGAACCCCTAAGCAATTTTAACTGCTTCTAAAAATTGAGCACAAATAAATAATGATAACAAAGCTAACTTACAGTGTTACATGTGAGAAAAAAAATGGTAAGTATATTAACAAAGGTCTGAGCTGTGAAATTTCAAGACGTTCTTACCAGACAGAAAGAGCAGTCATAGCCTAGAGTCCCAGCCAAATTGCTGGGAACTGAATTGCACTTTAGTCTTTAACGGTAAATTGCTTTCCTATTCTCTTAAGTCTCCCTTTAGTCCCTGGCCAGCTGGGGTACAGCAGCAGTGTTATTTCAGAAGTATTGTGTTCCTGGGTTGTAGCATATGCAAGTTTCTGGGTATTTTGTGGAGACTCTGATTTACAGAGTTTAAAGGAGAGGTTTTAATAAAAGTTCATTTAGGCAGGGCACAGTGGCTGACATCTATAATCCTAGCACTTTGGGAGGTCAAGGCAGGAGGATTGCTTGAGCCCAGGAGTTCGAGACTAGCCTGGGCAATGTAGCGAGACTCCGTCTCTACAAAACATTAACAAATTTACCCAGGCATAGTGGCACATACTATAGTCCTAGCTACTCAGGAGGGTAAGAGGAGAGGATCACTTTAGCCCAGGATGTAACGGCTGCAGCGAACCATGATTGCATCACTGCATTCCAGTCTGGGCAACAGAGCAAGACCCTAGCTCAGAAAGAAAAAGTGAATGCTTCGTTTGTCCATTGGCTATAATAGGGAAAGAAAAATTCCAAGAGTATATTATCTTTTTTTTCTGAGAGACATTTGTATTTAAAAGAAATAGCATTGGCTTTGGAGTCAGACAAACCTGGGCTCTAGTTTTACCTCTGCCAGGCTACTAGCTGAGAGAATTCGAGTGAGTGCCTTTATTTCATTGCATCTGTTTCCTTATTTGGAAAAATAAATGTAATCGTATTAACCTCATGGTGCTACTGTGAGATCAGTTGAAATAATGTATATGAGAGCTCTTTGTAAACTGCTAAGTGTTTATTATTGTGTATATTTGTATATTATTGTAATATAAAGTTACTTTATAAATGTTAAGTGAGAGTTTATAAAATAGTCTTGCTTGGTTTAAGACAGTGCTAGCTACCTGACGAGATATTTCTGAGTACAAGCTTTTGACATTAAAGTTAATTTGGATTCCTTTGCCGTACTAACAAAGATTAATGAAGAATGGTATAGGTATTCTTTAAGTCAGGAAATCTTTCTGTGGAGCAGGCAGCTCCCCGTCAGGCAAGTTATAGCATGCATAGTGGTTTTTGTAAGCCGCAAGAGTTGCTATTCCTTATCAAAACGGACTTCATTTACAGGGTGTTGCTGGGTGGGTTGTCTTCACTTATTGTAAGTTAATTGGCAGGGAGAAAAGTGGAAAGGAGTGAAACATAATAAATATTTGAAATAAGAAAGGAAATGATATTGACTCCTTGGGAGAGTGCTTTGATAACTGTTAATAATTCGTATGGTTCATCTTCAATTCGCCTAGAGGTTTTTTGTTTTGTTTTGTTTTCTAGTAGGCGTCAACATGCATGACACTAAGCTCTCTGGCTGATAACCTACAATAAATGCCTATTTCCCAAAAGCTACTACTGTCATTGTGACAGAGTATGTTGTTCTGGTGCTTATCTCTGCCCCTCATTTAGGAAATGGAAGAGGTGACCACAGTTCTTCAAAGACATAAGCAAGAACCAGCACACACTCCCTTTACAAAGGCATTGTAGAATCTTGAGAGTCTAGAGCAGTGCCCCGCAACTGGTCAGCACTAGCTGACCCACAGGGTCCGGATTAAGAGCTTGTTCCTTATTCTCACTTTAGATGGATAGAATTGTGTTTTCAACTAAGTGCTGCTTACTGAGTGAGTCCAGCACCCAGAGCTGTGGGCATCCAGCATTGACTATAAGATTCTTCTATCCTGAGCACAGTCTCAGTATCATAACTCCACTTTCTAAGCCAGCTTCAGTTCTCAAGAATAAAGCCATGAGAGTGTTATGCTGTTTACTCAGAGAACAGCAAGAGGAATTTTGCAACCACTTCAAATTTAAATGTAGAAAAAGGGCATACTGGTGGACATGAGTCAGTGGCTTACTTCAAAAAATATTTTTTCTCATTTTCCTTCCAACTGCTCTCATGCAGAAATCCCTGCCCAGGCCTTGGGCTTGCCACAGTCCCTGGGCAGTCCGTTTGTCCTCAGCCTGTCCAGACTCTTTCCATCCCTAATGGGTTCCCATCGCTCAACTCCATGAACCTTTTGCCACCTTAGCTCGTGCTGTTTCCTGCCTCTTGTGGCATTACATGGCTGTTACCTAAAGAGGCTAGTTGAGAATATCCTGTTTAATTTTCTCAGTGATAAACAGCAGAAGATTTGGTAAGCTTAAGCCACTGTCTCATAACAGTTACCCTGTTGAAACTTGGAGTCCTATGGCCATAAACCTTGTGTGTCACTGCTTCTGAAGCCCGGAGCTCTTTGTCAGTGGATAAAACAGCTTCCTGTTCCTCTCCTCTTACCGTCCTGTTCATATATCTTTTTACTCCGCATAGTACCTCAGTAGTTGCATGTCTTGCGCTGTCCTATAATTATTGCTAAGCGACTTCCTGTGAATGCATATTTGCTTCCAGAAGCTTTTTTTATGTGAAATTGAGAATTATACCTGCTTCTGGAACTGTAACTTTTTGAAACCGTTCTGAGTCTGCAGTGGGTTGTTTTGTTCTCCTCAGAACCAGGGAAAAGCCATAAAACTGCTTTAATTATTTTCAAGTTATCATTGAAAGGGCTTAGGTCAGGATATGTTACTACAAAATCAATCATTTAAACAAATGTGCTCCAATAAAATTATTTTCAGTGCCTAGAAAGATCACCCTGAAACAAGACAGTTTGTACCTCCTTTGGGTAACACTAATGTTATTCTGCCTGCAAACTTTAAAAAAAAAAAAGGTCTCACTCTGTCACCCAGGCTGGAGTGCAGTGGCACAATCTTGGCTCACTGCAACCTCTACCTCCTGGGTTCAAGTGATTCTCATGCCTCAGCCTCCCGAGTAGATGAGATTGCAAATGTGCACCACCATGCCTAGCTCATTTTTTTGTATTATTAGTAGAGACAGGGTGTTGGCCAGGCTGGTCTCAAACTTCTGACCTCAAATGATCCGCCCACCTCAGCCTCCCAAATCTATAAACTTTTAATTGCAGAAAACAAGTACAGACAAATGAATGACATCTTCTAGCCTTTTTAAAACTTTAATAATAGTGGTTCATCCTAGCTTTTTAATATTTGAAAATGCATGGGAGTTTTCACTTTTTTTAAGCATAAAGAATGGCCCATGTTGTATAAACAAGAAGATGAATCTGCTGTGACTAGAAGCAGCTGTACCAAAACTTTGTGTTGTCTTTTTATACTCTGTGTGTGTGTGTGTGTGTGTGTGTGTGTGTGTGTGTGTGTATGAGCAATGAAAACTAAAATGAGAGGTGATACTAAACTGGCACTCCACATCTCTAAGCCCTTTCCAGGCAGCAGTAGATGTTTCATAATTTACAAGGCAACCAGCAAACCTCTTGGGGCACCAAAGAGAGTCTTCCCAGGTTGCCTTTTACTTACTTAATATTCGTAATTTCTGATAGTAACACAGGGATAAGGGCCAAATAGTAAACTCTGTGAGCTACTTTAGGTTGTTCTGTTGGGGAACTAACTAGGTGCCTATTTCTTCTCTGTCAGCCTTGCTTATCCCTTCATTGTCCCTGTGGGACACAGTTTTTCATGTAGAAGTACACTGATCGACACAAAGCAAAGCACACAGCATGGTATAGTGAAAAATGTGTAGGCTGTCAAGTCAGATCCAGGCTTAGCTCTGCTTTTTACTAATTTGCTATGTGACCTTGGCCCAAACTACTTGTTATAACAGAGCCTCAATTAAATGGTAAGACTAATACCTACATTATAGAGCTGTTATGAGGATTAAAAGTACATGTGTTTAAGTCCCTGCACAAAGAAACCACTTAGTTATTTTCAGTGTTTTTTATTGTAGTTATTGTTTTGATTCCATATTATACTGCCTAAATACTGAGATTTATATCCCTAAGTCTTTGTCACTTTGGCTTCTAAGAAGCCATAATCTATTAATTTTACTTGGGTATTTGTTTTTTTCACCCTAAATTCAAACTTCATCCTGGTAAATTTTAGCCCAGTATGTCAAGATCCTGATTTGGCCTCTAATTCAGTTTCATTTTCCTTACTTTGTGTCAGCCCTAAAGTTGATGCGTAGAACATTTGTGTCTTCATCTTGTCATTGAAAAAAATATCAAACAGATTAGAGAGTAGTTCAGTTTAGCACTTTATGATGTCCTGGGCTGCCAAGTACTCCACTTGCTGTATTGTCATCTCCCAAGTCCTTGGGATCATGAGACATAGTAAATACAGTATTTGTAAATCATGTGTCATCATAGTTAATATTGTATGAATATATGAATGCATTCTGTCTCCAGTGGATGAAAGGAAAGCAGTAAAAGGGCATACTGCATCAAATACTGGACTCTGTAGACTTACAATATGATCTCATTTTTGCCAAATATGGCCCTTCTGATTTTGACCACTGTTAGATGGATTTTAGGCAATGACGTTTTTAATATGTCTTTAAACTTCCATGAGTTTTTAAGTGTCATGTATTTGTGACTGTTGCTTACTCAAAAGGCCAAAGAGTATGCTAGAACTGTATTCTTAAGGTCATTGTCGTTATCACAGTTTTAGA